TTTCTTTGATTAATAGTGGCTTCACTTATTAATCGTTATAAATCTTTTGATTTATTTTATTCTTTTCTTTATATTTTCACCCCTTTTTCAAATTACTTTTGTAATTTAGACCTTTGAACACACAATATCCGTAAATATTGGCACAGGCCTTAGAAATCTTTGTTAATATTTATAATTCATTCTCTTTACTTAAGTTTAATCGTCTCTCTCCCAACATCATATGCTTATAGTGATTCTCAGTGAAATCCACTATCCAGAATCACTATAACAATACTGTTATTATTATTTTAAACTTATTATAATTATAATATAATACTTGAAATATTATATATTTAATTATATTATCTATATTCTTTTATCTATCATTATTAATATATATTATCATAATTATCTTAATTAAATTCTCCTTCATATAATTTCAAAACAACTTAGAATAGTAATAGTATTATTATATTTTGATTTCAGCATATCAAATAGTAATAATATATCAAAGATTGATTAAGTTTCTTTCTTTTCTAAATTTTCAATTTCATCAAAAAATAAACTTAATTATTCATTCTTGTTTTCAATAATAAATCTAAGTTAAAAAATGTAATAAATAAATTTTTTTTCACTATATTTCTTTGAAAAATAATATTAGTTAACAATGTGATGCTTTTAATATAAAAAAATTATTATCATTTCTTTGTCTTTTTAATTCTCTCTGCATAACATATTCTTTAAAAATATTACTTCTATTTATCACAATTGCATTATAATAATTCATATATATATATTCATCTTTGTAATCCTTGTAATATGAAGCCAAAGTTCTATTAATTTCTGTCTTATATTTTCTTTCATTTAACACTAAAATATCTTTGCACATTTTTACTATGCATTGTTTGTCTTTTATTTCTTATAAAATTTGTTTCTAATAAATACTGAAATTATTTTTAACAAAGAATGAGTTGTTCTAAGAACAAACTTTTTCTCTTTTTTTTTTGAATGAATTTAATTGGCAATCACAAAAATATTGAATAATCTAAAGTGTATAAAAAACATTTTATTGAATTGAATCAAGCCACAGTCACTCATTACCAAATATAAGTTTATCCATCATTCTCACCATGCTCACTTCAAGGTTTTCAAATAATCAAAATGTTATTAAATCAAGAAAATAACACTATATTTACTGACGTGTATGATATTGTGATCTCGGAATTGATCTCTTTGTTTATTACTCTTCTCTTTCAAGCTAGTTCAAACAATACAACAAAAAATATTATTCTCGGTTTCATAGATGACTTATTCTTTTATTGTATCAATTATGGAACCTTCATATACAACATTTTAACAAAAGAAAAATGGAATTGTTATGTTAATATTGTAACGATGATACCAACAATCCTTTTCACATTTACCCATTTAACTTTTCACATCTACCCTAAATTTTTACCCAAATCTTGTATTCTTGGTTTATATGCTATAATTTGTCAAGCTTTTTCCTTTACACTTAATATTTTGTTTTCCCCCGTTATGAGTATATACTCGAATAAGTTTAATGATGACTTTTATATTTGTCTTATTCGCTTTTATTACGGTATTTCCTGTAAACACCCTTTCTCATTGGCTTATCATAAACGCGTAATCATACATATTGGCTTTCGTTTCTTTATTATTTTGCGGTAACTTATCCTAACAACTCTATTGCAAATAAAACATTTTTTAGTATTTGGATAGTTGTAATTAGTCGACTTTACCAACAAGCAAAACAAGTTAGCTTTTAATAGCTTTATTTCAAAGAATACTAAATTAGAAAACATTACTAGTTGTAGAAAAATTTGTAGTCTTTTGATCTTAAGTTTACCCGGTATTTTGTCTCTAGATTATATTGAAGAAATTTATGTTGTAAAAATAGATTATTATATTTTATTCCCTATCGCTATGTATTTCTACAATGGGTATTGATTTCGATAATAAGAATCCGGTTAGCGTATCAGAAAACTTTGGATCCGGTACGACAAACGAAATCCCGAAACCCCAACTTACCGAACACTCAACATCCCGAATGTTCAATGTCCCGAACATTAACATCCCGACAGTTCAAAATCCCAAAAATTCAAAATCCTGACACTTCGAAATCCTGGTTCAAAATCACGATACTTAAAATTTATTGGTCACTCACTGATCGACTTTAGTGTTATCGTTACATATTCGGTCACAAATTAAGATCTACAAACTAGCATATATTGTACGTAGAATCGAATCGAAAATAATTTTTTCTAATATTAGGCTTTAATCTCAGTTAAATTATATCTTTTTAACTTTCCAATATCCCAATTTTCATCTGTTTTTCTTAAATAAAAAAAATTGTTGAAGTAACTTTTCCACAATAATGTATGTAATACAAATTATTGACGATAACGATAATGGTAATTGTCAGTTAACGTTAATCTGACCAAATATATTAGTTAAAGATCTACATATCTTTAGCGATCCGCAACTTTTGTCCCTTAACGTTAACAATATTACGGTACATTCATATCCATGATAATTCTACGCTATCAGTTTTGGCAGTATAATTTTTATTATCAAAATACATATCGATATATCGATAAGAATATAATATCACGATCAAAGCATTCAAATGTAACCATATTTGGTAATAATATTATTAATAAAAAACGCATTTGCAAATAAAAAATAATCAATGATGAATAGTATCTATACAAAGTAAAGTCAACTTTAACAAAGTGCTCCGTTCCAAAAAACCCCCGCCCCCACTTCGTCATAGTGAAAAATCAACGAAAGAACCTGAGCTTCGCTAAAGTGAAATATAGTAATAAGAAAAATTATTTGTTTGTACATACACTAATCACTGCTAAATAACTATATACTATATGATTTAAATATTCCAAGACTTCTATCATTATATGCAGTAAAATGTACACTCCAAGGTACTATATGCCAAATCAATCAGTATAAAATGTCATTAATTACCACTCTTCCCATCCTCCATCAGGGATAATTTTGTTGTAAATAAGGAGAAGAACAAGAACTCTGTGTGTCTGTTCTTTCTTTTGCGGAAGAATTATTTTGTTCCATGGTGGTTTCATCATCGTCGTGTTCTTGATTGTCATTATTGTTATCTGATCGATTATTATCGTCTTGCTCTTGATGACTTTCAGCATTGCTATCGTCATTTTCCTCTTTCGCCTCGTTATTATTTTTAGAAGTATATTGACTAGCAATATTGTGATTCTCTTGTTTTTGTTTAAAATCTTTCTCTTCTCTTCTTGCCAATAGATGTTCAAGATTCTGATCAATCGAAGGCCACTCGACAGTATTATGGAATGGTTCAATTGGCAGCAACGGCGATAGGAAGGATTCAGAATTTTCATCATCGTCTTCATCTTCAAACTCGCATCGTCTACCAAAGTTATTCGCATCGTATGCATTTTCATGCCTTATGTAATAATCATAAGTGGATTGTTTGCCAACTGAAGTTATGGTATTATTGCTGTTATTGTTGTATTGTTGGTGTATGTGAAGTTGATCAAGAAATGCGTAGTCGTCGTTGCCGTTATTTGTATCTTTATCTCCATTATTGTGGTGGTTATTCCGATTCTGATTATGATTGGAGAGCGAGAGCGAAAGAGATGGAATGGTTGCCTGATCACTATTTGACACCCAAGATTCAGAGGTTGTAGAAGAGAATATTGGAGATGTTGCCATGGGCGAACTTTCTCCTCCAACTGTATTATCATGACATGGAACTCGTTGTAATTTAGAGTCAACGTCCAGTTCTGAAGATGATGCAAAGTCAAATAATTGATTGTTGTAATGGTCACCGGGTGAACGAATAATTGTTGGAGTTGATGATGTTATATATCCAAGAGCTTTTTAATGATAAATAATTATCATGATCAATAACAATAATACAGCGATGGATTCTTGTGCAGCAAGATAAAAAGAAAACTTACTTTGATTATCATTCATTCTAAAAACATCACTCAAATGTTGTTGATGTTGAGGCTGAGGCTGTGATTGTGGTTGACAATAAGAAGATAAATAATTCTTGTCGATTGATCCGTCCTCTATTCCCATCGAAGGTAACATATTCATCGGATAGCGAAAATTGGCGTGTTGATTATTATTGATTGATGGCTGCAGTGATGAATGAGCGGTAGCAGCAGAAATAATATTGCTGTTGCCGGCTAAATAAATGTCATTGTTATTGTTATTATCACTATCGTAAGTTTTATTACTATTGTTGTTGTTGTTGTTGTTGTTGTTGTTGTTATTGTTGCTGACAATAACAGTGGGAGAAGAAATGGTCGATTCAGAAATAGAACATGAAGCACTCGACGTAGTAGGAGAAACAATGTAAAACTCTTTTTTATCCTCAAACAGATAACTATAACTCTTTTGATCCACTTCATCTTCCACAAATCCAGGAATCAAGGTCAACTTTCTCATTCCAACTGGTCGAACGGAAGAAGCTGCTGCATTTTTCGATTCGTTAGCATTACGTTTCACTTTAGCTCTTCTATTCTGAAACCAAACTTGAATAGCACGTGACGACATGTTCAATCTTTGTGCCAATTGTGAACGCGTAGCAGGATCAGGTTTATTATTCTCCCGAAATACTTCCATCAGAATATTTGTCTCTTCTTCGTTCAGTCGTCGTCGTCGCTTTACTTGACGATGATATGCCGCGGATTGTTGGTGATCATATTGGTGAAAGCTATTTGTTGATGGTGGCGAGGTTGATTCGATAGCAGTTGCAGCAGAAGACGACGACGATACACAGGATAAATTATCTTCAATGTCGAAATAGTCTTCTTCGTATTCGTATTCGTACTCTTGTAAATTATTAATACTGTTGGTATCATGATAGTGATGAACTTTATTCTCAGCTGTTGAATCAATTTGATGTTGTTGTTGAAGTTGTGATTGGTATGGAGTCTGCAGTTGTTGTAATGGTAGAAATTGAGATTGTGGTATTGGTGTAGTCTGTTGAAAGAAAAGATCCGGATCTATCGTCATATTACTATTTGTGTAAAGATTTGAAGGTATTGGTGATGGAGATGGTGGTGGTGGTGGTTGGTGTTGTTGTCTCGTGTTACTTCTTGCCGCGACGAACATAGTAATTCGTTAATTTTTGTTATATATATAAACTTTATAATATTTATATATGAGAATATATTTATTGCATATGAGAATATATTTACTGTATATGAATCTATCGAAGAAACATTATTATGTTAGGTTTAATAATTATATTATAGGTAAAGAGAACGAGAAATATTTAATTTTATCTTTATTTATTATAATATGATAATTTATTTATCGTAAAACTAATATAATAAACTTTGATAAATAGGCAAAATTCCAAAAAAAATATATTATATTATATTTACATTTATCATGCACTATATCTTTGGATCGTGGGAACTATAGAGTCACACACACAAGTCCGATTTGATGTCGACTTTGTTTTGCAGAGTTCGACATATAATATAGAAAAGAGTAGAAACAACAAGAAAAAAAGGAACAGAGAGTGAGTTCGGAATAGTTCTTTGCTTTTTAATCTTAGTTTTTGATTCCTATCATCACTTTTTATCTAACAAATCTAACAAATTGATGGAATCAGTGGTTGTCAAGTGAACATGTCATTCATCACTCATGGTTTTTTATACCTTGGTTGTTGATGTGATGCAGGGTCGTTGTGTCACGGGACAAATCCTGTGAGAGTCTGGGACATGGCACGAGACAGTCTGGGGTACAGTCAGAGGTATTCTTGGGACATAAAAAACGTACAATACTGGCTACAAGTGTATACACTTTTTGAGATATTGTACTTGCATCACAATATTAATATAATACTTGAATCGATTTTTACCTGCTTGCATTCATTTAATTCGTCCATTCATATATTATAACCCCCCCCCAATTGATTCATCGCGTATACAAGGCTTTTCCTACAATTTGTATACTAATTTTCTTTTAACATGCGATCTATAGCGAGAGTGTTTATTTCCGTCAATATCAATCTAAACAAAATAAACAAGTATTCATTTTAAACCTCGACATTTTTAAAAATAATTTGACAACAAATTATTTTAACCATTTTTGTGAAATTGTACGATTCAAGTCAAATTTTTTAAAAATATTATACTCTGCAGTCAGTATCAATTTTCATAAAAATCGGAAGTTCTAGGAGCATTAATTCGACTATTTATTTACTAGCAGAGATTTGGACCTTCGTAATCTTAAATCTCGATAAATTTTGAGCCAATTTTTATGAAAATTGATACTGACTGCAGAGTATAATATTTTTAAAAAAAGTTACTTGAATCGTGCAATTTCACAAAAATGGTTAAAATAATCTGTCGTCAAATTATTTTTAAAAATGTCGAGGTTTAAATGAATACTTGTTTATTTTGTTTAGATTGATATAAACACTCTCGCTAAATATCGCGTGTTCCATTTCTTGTGCGAGCTATTAAGAAAACTGAATTCGTTATAGCATACACGCGTATAATATTCGCGCGTATTATGCGTAATAAAAAATCACAATCAACTTCTTTTTAATGAACTATATATAAATCGCATCTTAGTCAGACAATTATATAATTCATTTGATGACAAATTAATTGTCTGCCACCTGTTCGCTTAATAAAAACTTAAATCAATAAAAATAGTTTCTTACCGTAACGTCAACTAATTCCTGTTTGTCAGGCATCCATAGCAGTCTGATAGCAAAGATTTAAATGTTCACCGCGCTCTCTGCTGAGGTTTTGGGTCGGAAGTTGCCGACCGCTTGTATTGTTGCTATTGTTGTAATTTTTTCGATTTCCGGTGTATTTTTGTTTGTATTATTAATAGTAGTAGTAACAAATGCAGTTTGGTTGTTCCCACTGCTTTGTCGTGTCGACAACCACCTTTGTATAATAATTAAACTTGCTCACTCACTATGTTTTATTTCTATAATATAGTAAATTTTATGATGGACACAAATGATTATTTTACAAGCTTCGAACAAAATATTTATCGCAAACATTAACAAGAAATTAGCTATAATGCTAAATTTTAAGTGTATTGGTAATTGCGGTATAATGATAGTATTGATAGTATTAACGTTTATAGTCCTAATAATAATAGTAGTTTGGGAACAAGAACAAGTTTCTGAAGCATAAAAAATCCGGAAAAAACATCTTAGGAAAATCGCAAAATAAGCACGTGACATTTTTTATGCAATTGGATTTACTATCGTTATAAAATTTACATTTCATAATATTTTTTTAAAAATATATATCATGATGATCCATTTTATGAATTTTATGAATACGAAATTTGTAAGTTGAATTTTTTATTTTTTTTTTGCATTTATTTATGGCTGATTCTTTATCAATAATATTGATTATTTTTCGTCAGCAATAATAAATGGCAGATATGGCTACTCGACTCTCCATTCTATGATTTGGGTACACGGGCTTTTGGGAGCTGCGACTAGCTAGATCAGTGCACTCGTTTTAATTTTCATGTTTATGCCATAAGTCAAAATTTATATAGATTCTTTTATTGCAGTATCCGAAAAAAATTTGGCGGATCTCTATTGACGGAGTGTATTTCGTGAAAAAGCGGCTGGCTCGAAAAATCTACTGACACTTGACAAGTGAGGCTTTGTTTGTTGAGAAACATGATATGCTTAGATGGATCATACTGCAACAGAACAAGACAATGCCACAAATATATCTACAATTATAAAAAGAACGAAGAAAATTGCTAGAATTAAAGAAATGAATTAAAGAAATAAATCAATGCAAAAAAAAAAACATCTGCCTAGTGAGCTGGACGTATTGTTTACTCAGCCATACGAGAATAACAGTTAGTCAAGCTATAGTAACTAGAATACCTATATATAAGGAACGTTTGTATACTGTTTGCGATGTTGACTAACTCGTGCTCTTTTCCAAACTTCATGGGTTGAACAAGATCATGATAAGGAAGCAGATGTTCTTACTGAAAATAAATTGAATGCACTTCTCCGATTCATTTGCCTTATCAACTGGATCTTTGCGAGGCATATGCAGCCTTGGATTGCCAACATCAACGAAAATTTCCTTAGTTATGCTTGGGTATGCATTTGTGTCTTGGATTTAAGGAAAAAATCAAAAATTGTGGAATTGATTTACAATATAGAAATGGAGCTAAAGTAGTTGCTGCTAATGCACTACTTTTTAATTATGCGATGGGTTTATTTCCTGCTGAAGTCATCAATAATATTGAAAAAGTTCCTGAAGAATATAATCATTCTGACTTGATGGCTATAATTATGGTACAGTAAATAAAGGTTTTACTTTTTCATATATTACAAGATAATGATGATTTTGAAGAAAAAAATTTCATAAAATTTTTTTCTATTAAATATGAAGATGGTTCCTAGAGAGAGGTTAATGATGGAATGTATTTCAATCGCAGAGGGCGCAAACTCACGAAAGATGAGTCCGGAAATCTTGGGATTCAAGTTGCAAGAAGCAAACCGTTCTAGTTAGAGATACCGCTGATGCGGATGTCTCGATATATCCGTTATTTCTCGCGCTTTATATGATTAAATAGATACCAAGGATTTAAAGAGGTGGCAGTTTAGACTAAAGAATTGCGACATCATATATATGCTGTATTCAACAAACGGAGCCAAGATTAAAACAAACTAGAATTCCATCGACCTATGCCAACAAATGCAGCAAATGCAATAGATGCAGGTTTATTATAAAATAAAGGTATTTGATTCTTACGATCAAAGTAAAAAGTTCAATTACTCTTTTCACTTGAATTTATATGAGAATTTTTTTCTTGGTTCGACCGTTTTTATTGGAATATTTTCTATTAAGCTGTATTGATTTTTTTTTAGAATACAGTTTTCTGACCATGTTCATCATTATTGAAAGAATTTAAGAAACTTTACAGGTACGAAATGGAAAAAGAAGTGAATGATGAGGTTATGAAAAGAAACATTCGAAAGTCTAAAACAAATAATGCAAGGAGAATCTAAGTGAGAAAGATTTAACCGCCACCATTCTCCTAATTACCAGAGTGTAATAATAACTGGGTAGTATTAGAAAGTGGTCACGGAATATAATAAAAAGAATTAAAGTAGGGACATACAAAACTATACTTTGGAAATGGCAAAAAGAAGAAACATCGAAGTACATTCGAGACAAAATAAAGTGCTTCTTGATGATCTTGGAAGTTTGAGTCACCGGAGGAAGATCCAGAGCAGTATGGTGGATTTTCCTGAAATAAATAGAGCGAAAAAGTGATTGCTCATTGAATTGGGATATAAAAGATTTCAAATACAAACCTTTCAGATACAATATTTTTCTTCTGTGATATTAACGTGGGTTTTTTTCGATTATTAGGCATAATATGCCATGGTCATTTCTTTTGAACAGCATCATTTCCTCACGTTACTGTTAGCATTATATATTCTTGCAGAAAAAGTCCGGATCGAAAGATTCAAAAACTCGCCTAATCATAATCACTCAATTGAGGAAAGTGATATGCGAAAATGGGCCAATGAGGCAAGCATTCAAAGTGCTATCCAAGGGAGTTCCAATCAGGCAAAAAACAAATCAACAACTCAGCGATCCAATTAGTTCGAGTGAAATGAATTCTCTTTTTGAAAACGATAATCAAATTAATTTTAATTCGGCATCTTTAGATTTTAATCCTTATCAAAATCCTTATCCACTTGACCCGCTAACTTTTGAACTTTTTTTTGGAAGCCGAAATCTATTTTTTCTATATTTGGGGGAAGTGTTTAGAAACGATTAATTTATCCACTTGACCTGCTAACTTTTTGAACTTTTTTTTGGAAGCCGAAATCTATTTTTTCTATATTTGGGGGAAGTGTTTAGAAACGATTAATAACAGAAAATTCAGCCATTCTGAATCAAGTCCGACTGCTATTCTTTCTCACTAGCATATATTCTCAAACTATCATAAACATTCTTTATTCTTTTTTTTTAATTTGACAAAAATGGGTTTCAGAAAAAAGTATTTTAAGAATAAGCAATAAGCACACAGATAGATTTTTCGTTGTTAGATTTGTAGACTCGATGGCCTAAAAACATTTTTTCTTGTAAATGTTTTTTTTTATTAATGCATTTTTTAATCTAATAAATATACAATAAGGGCCGTGACATATTACGTAGTATAGGTTTACTATAGAGCCCCTCCCCCCCCCCCAAGGTAAGATGTTTGAAGTAGGGTTGTTAATCAGTCCTAAATCGGTCCCAACAATTTTAAAAATTTCTATTCATGGTTTGTAAAATAAAAATTATCTCCAAACTCAGCAATCTTCCTGGGACTGTTTCGGTCCTGTGATGATCCCAAACCCATCCCAAATTCTATATTCTGATTTCTCAAGAAGTTTTATTACTTATTTTCAATAAGTAACTTATATTAAACCATTAGTAACTCGTAAAAAAAGTTAACTCTAAAACTAATCATTTTCATGGGACTGTTAGGACCATTTGGGACTGTTTAACAACCCTAATTTGAAGCATGTGACTTTATATATTACATATGAAGTCAGAAATCTATCTTACCCCCATCTGAGAATTTGCTATCAGCATGGTGAGATAGGAATCTTTGCGAAAAATGCAAATTGACCAACCAGCACGCCATTGGATCTATAGCTCAAGATGTAAATGCCGAATACTTGAAGTTTGTCTGATCATAATCTATACTTGACAAGTCGAAGACTTTTTCAATAGTCAATAGCATTTGTGGCTTGCCCTTTTTTATTAGGTATTAAGTCGATAATGAGTTTGACAATACTGGCAATTCTCAAGGTATAACTGCGCAAAGCTTCGGCTTTCAAAGCGCTGATACTCGAGTTTTGACGTTCAAAGTCTTGGTATTCCAAGCACTAACACCTGAATTCGAGAAATTGTGTCAAAAGATTGTTTTATTTATTTAGCGTTAGTATAATTTGAAGAATTTGTTTAAGATCGTCCAAATCTGGAATTTGAGATACACTAGACTCGATATAAGAAAGACTAATTAAAATAAGAAAGTTGAGCTCGAAATCACTCTATAATAAATTTACTCGATATAAGAAAGTTACTAATAAACCCTTGATATAAGAAAGTTTTGTAAATTTTTCACTACGGACCCGAACACCTTTCTTATATCGAGAGCCAGTTGTATGGAACTTTCAACTTTATGGCACTCGCTTTCCCTTCAAGCAGCACCCACATCATTATTATGGAACTCGGACATTCTGTAAACCCGTTTTTTTATCGTTGTTGGGTATATATAAGAACGTCTAATTAGGGTTTAATTTTTATCATACTTAAAAAAAATTCGAAAAGGTCTGTATATAGCGATAGTCATTTGAATGAAGGAATTGCTAAATAAATGCGACAGTACTTAAAATAGTATAGCGTCAAGGCCGCCTTCCTGAGCTTGTTCCTAGAAGTGTTATGTAATTGAGAATTTTCGTTAAATGAACTATAAGAAGGTGTCAATAAGTTCACGTTAATTAGCTCTACAAACCTTAACAAACATTTCAAAGTATGAATAAATAATAGTGACAGCCAGTAATATCCCAGTACCAGATCCAAGAGCCCCTATAAAAATTCAAAATTCAATTAATATTTATTAAACTAATAATGAATAATCTCGAATTAATGATTCCCAAACTTACCGAGTAAATCAGCAAGAACAGATAAAGCTCCAATACAAGCACCTCCGAAGGCGGCGGCAGTTGGAATTACACGTTTTAATTCTTTGTACATTGAGGTTTCACGGTGACCAGCCATGACCATTCCCTGTTCTTTGAGTTGTTTAGCGACATCGCGAGGAGACGAGCCTGAAACCTCAATCCATGTTTTGGAGAAAAGAGCGCAGGCAGTCAACATGAATATAATATATATCGAAGTGTGTATTGGGTCTAAAAGGGCATCTGTAATATTTCTTGGGGGCGACATGAAATACGCTAGTCCACTAGAAGCAAACAATTGCGAGCTTCCCTCATGTGGCTGAAACATAATCAAATTAAGAATTTCAGTGTTGAAGAAAAAAACTATAGAATAAGAATATATAATATACATACAGTCCATACACCAAGAAGACGAACGAGAAGATTTTCCGGGAATCTATTATATAACATTTGCGAGATCAAGAATATATTGGAAGTAAGAGCAGATTGCAACATGATTGGCATGTTGGAGGTGTAGAATAGCTTGATTGGGTAGGTACCACGTTGACCACGATTTCTTTGTGATTTCACGGGAAGTTCAACACGGAAACCTTGAAGGTAGATAACAATGGCAAATACAACTAAAGTGGCCAATAGATTCATCACGTTTGGCAAGTTGGCGCGATAAAAAGCTTCCTTCAAGGCGCGAGTTTTGTCACTTCGAGTAAACAAAAGATGGAATAATGCAATGATAGCTCCTTCGAATTCGGGGCCACGACCAGTGTTTACGGTTGTCGGGCTAAAAGCTTTCCAAACAATCGACTCACAAATATTTGTAGCGATGAAAAGTGAAATCCCGGAACCAAGCCCATAGCCTTTCTGTAATAATTCATCCAACAGCATAGAAATAAGACCGGCGACTACAAGCTGAATGATCAACAACAGACAAACGCCAGCACCAATATCATTTGGATCTCCATACAATCCAGTCATCACCGAGACAGTAGCCTGACCAAATGCAAATACCATAGCGAAAAGTTTCTGCGCGCCACTAAACAACGCGCGATCCTCTTTCACGTTAAAATCCACCTCGATAATATTAGCACCAGCTAATAGTTGCATGATCATGCCCGATGTGACAATTGGCGTGATGCCAAGCTCCATCAACGTGCCTCTATTAGAAGCAAGAATTACACGCAACCAGTAGAGAGGATCGGACGAGTCAGAAGACATTATACCGTAGAGTGGGATTTGTGAGCACACCAAGAAAATAAAAAGTGTTACAGCTGTCCATAGAACCTTTTGCTTAAAAGGAACCTATGTTTTGATAATTTAGAAAATCTTGTTTATGAGTTGAAGAAATCATCAAATAAGACGATGCTGTACAAAGTATCGGGTTAAGTAGAAGTGCGTTTAACTATGTTAGGGAGAAAATGTTAGTACCTTTCGGTCAGGCGATGTAACTTCCGGAAGTATGGCCATAAATGGCCTGATGAGATGAAGAAATCGAACTATCGGTCAAAGAAAGTATAAATTAGCAAAAGTAAATTCATTAAAAGGCTTTTTAGGAAAGGGTCAACTAAACTAAACTAAAACTCTGCCATCGCTAGTTTTGATCATTTGTATACATACAGCCCATGTTGTATTAAATCCAGTGAGAGGCGGCCAAAAAAATAAGACAGGCAAAGATGAGAGAGAAAATAAGCAACTCGGCAAGTGGGGAGGAAAATGTTCGTGAAAAAATAATTTCCGACTTAATAAATATGAAATATCAAAAAATCACCAATCAGAGAAATGAATTTAGCAACAAATAGACTACATCCACGACAAAGAAATGCACGAAATATGCATAAATTTTGCACGTGTTTTTTTTTGAGTCTAGTAATGGTAAGCCACGAGTAATGTAGATATTCAAATAACATATCGATATAACGTGATCATTTACTGTTTTTAAGATACATATCGTTATTATGAACATTATCTCTTTTCGTAAGATAAATCTTGTCCAAGCCTACAAGGGCTTAACAACGCCACGTATATGGTCACAACAAAAATTATATATAAAAAACGCGTCATTACATTTACCAATTTTAAGTCGCTCAGCTTCCAGCAAGACTTCCAAAAAAAATTCATTGGTCCAAAAGCACAGAACCATTGAAACATTTCTCGCCAGAGAGGACCAGAACACGGACACAACAGTATACCAAGGAACGTTATACGAATACGAGACGATTAAATGCCTTCAAGAAGTATTTGGCATTGAGACACGTCGTTGCGGGGGATCTAATGATCGTGGCGTTGACTTTCGCGGTCGATGGACTCTTCCCGATAAAACCATTTTCTTAATTGGACAATGTAAAAAATTTCAGGTTAAATCTTCGCCTAGACATGTTCGTGAACTAGAGGGGTCGTTAAGTCACGAGTCGCCTCAAACGTTGGGAATTATCTCATCTGGTGGCGGGTTTACGTCTAAAGCTAAATTACAGTTCACCGCATCACCGTGGCCGTTAATATTGATGATGGTAGGTGAAGAAGGAGAATCGTGTGATATGTTTTTGATGAATCATGCGGCTGAAAATCTTATGGATGGGTTTAAAGTGACAATGCATTATGAAGCCTATCCTAAAATTGAAGGTGTAATGGTTAATCGCGCGCTTTTAATATATAAAGGCAAACCTTTCGAACCAAAAAAGGTAGATGATGAAAAAGTTATAGTCAAATTTGTATAGTCCGATTTCTTTCGCAATATATCCTCACATGACTTGGGATTTACAACCAATCTAAATTATCGTTATGAAGAAAAAAAACCATCAAAATCGATATTTTTTTACTCTGAATGGTTTATCAACAAATAAAAAAGTCCACGCTAAAGAAAATGCCGGCAAAAGCAAAAAAAGTTCAGTTAGGAAAGCCCTTCTTGAACGCCAGAAAGAAGGCAGCAGCAGAAGCTTCTAAAACAACTAATACAAAACCAAAAAAAGCGCATTTTGCATTAGCTGGCAAGAAAGATGATAAAGCAATAAATAAAGTTATAAGTAAAAAAAAGGTCGAAGAGTTAGAGGAGAGTAGCGGGTTAGAGGAGGAGAGTGAAGACGATATGAATAAAGAAGAGGAGGAAGAGGAGGAAATTGAACACGAAAATAACACGAGTAAAATTGCAAAGCTTTTTCTTGAACTATCTGCAGAAGAATCTAATGACTCTGATAACTCGGAAAATGCTGAAACAGACTCGATAAAAGATAATGGTGACGAAGAGGATGGAATTTCTTTGGATAATTTGTCTGAAGAGGAATTATATGAGGATGTAGTTCCTCAACAACGTGTAACTATCAATAACAAGGTAATTGAATTTTAATAGGTAATTGTATTACTTGTGATGATATCAATTAATTCTGATATTCATGTAATCAAGGCAGTATTAATGCGACTGTCCAATGAATTAAAACTCGATTTGCCTTGGATCGAAACCCAAGTTATAACTTCGACGGAACCGGTTATTATAAAAGATGTAAATAATGATATAGAACGAGAACTTGCATTGTATTTATCCGATTTATATGCTTTTTTATTGAGTAAACTGTAACGTAAATAATCAGCTCAATTATCCTTGATTAGTTATAAACAAGCTCTCGATTCTGCCACAGAAGGGCGCACTCGAATACTTGAAAATGGTGTTCCTTTCTCACGACCAGATGATTACTTCGCCGAAATGGTGAAATCAGATGAACACATGGCTAAAATCCGACAAAAACTACTGGACGAAACGCAGCGTATCAAAGCAGGCGAAGCAGCGCGTCGTCAACGCGAATTGAAAAAGTTTGGTAAAAAAGTTCAAGTGGAAAAAATTCAAGAACGACAAAAACAAAAAACTCAAGATTTGGAAAAGATAAAGGCGATGAAAAAAAGTAAGAGGTTGTTGCAAGATACAAACAAAACGATAATGAATTTTCGATTTGCGTTGATGTACTTATTGAGATATCGTGTTTAGAGCGGAAGGGTATCGAGGATACTGCTCTTGATGATGACTTTGATATAGCACTCGAAAAAGCCGTTACCGAAGACAAGCGACCGAATAAACGGCAGAAAACAAACACCATGACAAATAAAAAACGCGTTAAAAAGGTATGGACAAATAGATCAATGAATATTCTTTTGTACATCAGAACTAACGCTTTAAATAAATTAGGACGCAAGATATGGATTTGGGGGGAAGAAGCGTCATTTAAAATCTAATACTGCGGATTCCTCGGGAGATATCGAAGACTTTAATCCGAAAAAAATGAAGGGTGGTTGGGGAGTAAGTATTTTTTGCTATTGTATCACACCATTAAATTTGTTAAGATACATCTAATAAATGTTTATTTAATAGGCATCAACAGCCAAACCAAAAAAGAAAATTGTCAGACAACGCCCTGGGAAGGCAAGAAGACAGGTGGCAAGAAACAAGAAAAGATGATTCAGCAAATCATTGTTACTCATAAATATCTTTGTATATGCGTGAACGAAGACACAAAACTGAGTTAAATTAATAGACTGCTGTGCATGCAGTACAAGACAAAGATAATAAATAATTAATTAATTATTCAATCAAAGCTTAGCCTTTTCAGTTTTTGTTTTCAATTTATCCAAGTAATCTGCTATAATTCCATTAAGAAGTTGTGATTGTTCAACCATCATCCAATGTCCTGATTCCATGACATGCTAAAAAAAATTAACATTAGCATGATCGATAGATAAAAAAATGGTTAACAAAATGATAATAATACCTCAATCACCAAATCCGAACAATCTTTTGACATATCTTTGGTCATCTCAGCTCCGAGCACTTTGTCTTTACCCGCAGTGATCTTTAATAAAAAAGGTTATTAATAATGTTGGTAGATGATGCGAACGTGGATTTATGCTATTTACCATTAAAGAGGGGGTATCAATTTGCTTTCGTAGACCTATTATTCATTAATTAATAACCATTTATATATTCTATTAATTACTTAATAATATTACTTACCTTTTTCGTCTTGATAATTAATTTTTCTAGTTTTATACCAATTTAAACCGCCATGAAATCCACGAGCATTGTACTGTGCAACATAATAATCTAATTCCTAAACCAATCACCATAAATATAATCCTCGTTAGAGAAAAACAATTTGCTGAATAAATCATACCACAAAGATAAAAAAGACATGATCAAACCTTATCCGAGATCAATGAACTTCTCGTCACCTTATTCAAATTTCCCAGATATATTTTACCATCAAAGAGTTTAAACTCATCTTCTTTTTTACTGGTGCGCATCGATCCTTTGAAGAAAGCTTCAGCCTTAAACATTTTTACGGTGATATAATTATTTATGAAGCGTTTTTATTACGCGATAAGAAATGAAATAAAAGATAGCAATATAACAAACATTACTGTCTAACTCGATCTCGGCTTTCGGATGCGAGAGATAGATTTGATATTGAAAAGTCGGAATCATCCGAGCTATAGTTTCAATGTTATAATATCTATCACGCGGTGGGATATAAGGGGTGCAAATGCTATCGTTTCGAAGACCGAAAAAGATTAAATTGGGAATTATAATGAATGGAATGTGTACAAGTGAAATTCTTATAAAAGAGATACCTGATTACAGATTTTACACGTTCTGGATAATACAAAGCCATACGCCAAACTACCACCCCACCCCTAAAACAAAATAAGTCACATATGAAGCGAGTAATCGAGAACTCAAACATAACTATCAAAAAATCTTCTTACCAATCATGTCCACAATAGATAGCCTTTTGAATATTCAATTGCTCGGTTAATTCAACCAAGTCTTGACAGATATTCTTAATCCCATACAACTGTAATTTTTCTGGGGGGCACCTTGGCGCATCCTAATATTATATTAATATTATAATAATAGAATCAATTTTTACTTCTTGCAATTACAATATATATTCTATACTCACCGTTTGCCCAAACCCTCGAAGGTCGGGTACAATGACGCGATATCCTTTCTTGACTAAGAATGGAATTTGGTAACGCCAACCATACCACAAGTCTGGAAACCCGTGGCAGAGAACTATTGCCCCGTTGCGTGCCTCACCTTCGTCTACGTAATCTTTTTAAAAAGATTAGATTTATTATGTTAGTAATAAGTTTCAAAAGGAATGCAAGATTGCAATGTAAGACTTACGAAGCGTGATACCATTAACTATAGAAAATTTATGGTGAAAAGAGTTTGGGTCGAGTGGGTCCATACGAAGGAATTGAGTTGATGAGATTGACATTGGAAGAATTACCGAAACAACTTTATTCAGTAAATTAGTTAATACTTTACAATTTATCAGAGGTGAGTTCTTTTAATGATCTGATTCTTTTTACGCGGCGTATTGTTATATACTAAAATGGTTAATTTTCAAATCAGAATGCAAGATTCCAATGATTGTGCAGATGCAGATTGATAAGAAATCAAAATCATATTCCAAGATGACAAGCTTTAATTTGATAACAGAACTGATGAATGCAGGCAAATAGTAAATGCTCATGTTTCTTAACCGATATGTCGGAAAAAGCCTGGTATTCCTATTTTGACGAAGTCGAGTTTGAAACTTGGGAAGATCCTAACAGGTGTGCCTTCATAGCTGCAGCTAGATAACACGGATTGCTCTTGCAACACTGCTAAAAAAAAATACTCAACCTAGGATTTATTCAATCATCTGAAGTTTTGAGTATAGCATTTAAAAACAGGAGGCTGCTATGTAGCTAACCTACTGAGTAGCCTGTTAGGGTGTTGGCATATTCGAAGCAGGCGAGGAACAATCAATTAGGTTAATAACTTAATTTTCTTGTGAACACACTCTTCGTATTCATGAGTATACAAATTCGAAAAATGGGAGAAGGCACCTGGCATATGGAGATACACCGATCCCTATATATAATTGCTTACCTGATGGAATGGTGCACAATATCGCCTGGAGTGGGCAAAATCTTCACGGACAAAGGAATAATATATCTATATACACCCGAATTACAATACACCATCGAAATACTAATGAATGGTAATTCGATTGTTGTAATTCTCGGTGGACAATAGTTTGATTTGATTATTAGATAACTCTTCTCGAATTTCTTAATTCTTCTCTGGCATCATCTATTTCTCTTCGAGCTCATCGACAAGAGATTGGATTTCCTTTACGGTTTATTCTGTAAACCCCGTGCGATTCTTCGCAAATTAGCGTTTAGTCTCCGATGCCTTAATTTGATTTTAATACTTCGCGAGATTGTCATATTTTTATTGATCGCAGACTTGTTTAGATGTTCAATTTCTTTAACAAGTTTTGTTTCAATTCAATAAGTAACGCGTAATTTTTGAGATAGCTTAATGCTCTCCAACTTCTAGAGTTTGTGCTTTCAAAGTTATTTGAGCTCGGTTTTGTTTTGATAGTCTTTTCTTTTGTCGAATAAACATTACATAGTTCGTGCAAGATTAAAGCTTCTTTTTCGATATTTGTGAGACTTCTGTGTTCAAAGACGGCGTTAGTGCTTGGAGTACCAGGACTTTGAGCGCCGTTAATGCTTCGAATGCTGGTGCTTCATGTGTCAATATTCCAATAATAGTGCTTGGATTTATTAACTAACATTAACATGTGATCGGATCACAACCATATATCGATATTGTTGCACTGCAAATTTTGAACTTACGAGAGCCAAGACATGAACGAAGACTTTCAGTCACCTTTTTCTTCGCAAAGCTACACAAACAACAACAACAACACTTCACTTCAAACAACTTATGACCCACAGCTTCGTTCGCTTAGTACCTGGGGTGCATCAGAGCCATCACAAGCACATTCGCAGCCGTTGAATACGACTACGACTAGAGGTAACTTTGGAGGCCCGGGAAACTACACATTACAAGCAACAGCCACCACTCCTACCACTAGTACTTCTAATCCTAATGGGCAACAACAACACATAAACGACAGCCAGTATATGAGTGGTGCATCTCAAGCTTCCATTGGCGGCAATACTATAACTACCCAGCCTGTTTCCGCGAAATTTTCCGATGTAAATGGAGGTACTACTAACAGTCCTGGTGATAATAAAGGAGGCGGTGGACAGACACGTTCAATGACTATATTTCTTCCTGCAGGCAATTATCTAATATTTTCATCGTATTTAAAATCAAATTGATGTTTTTCTCGATGAATCGATTTAACCTCATAATTTTATGCATTTACGATCATTATTCTTATAGAGTATACACAGAAATGCGTTCAAGCGGTACATGTTCATAAAAAAATATGACTTTTGTATGTCTGTACTACTAGTAGTCTATTTATAAAAAAGAAAACATTTGGTGTGTGTACGCGTGCGTGAGCGCGTGCTCAATACCATAAAAAAAACATTTATCGTAATCATCATATTTATCATTCTGAGAAAGGTTATGCTTACTTTGAAGAAAATGATGAATGAAGATGCCACCTTTTTTGAATCGATTACTACCAATTATCTATTCTTACTATTTTTTCATATTATTTTTCTATAGATACTCGATGTCAACGTAGAACTAATCCGAGTATGTATCGACTATAATACAAAAGGATGGATGAATGCTCAAGAAATGAACGCGTAAGTGATTAGGCATGCTTACGCATTCTGAAATTTACACCTGTAATAATTATCTTTTCTTTTACATGCAGTTATAAGGTGCGTCTTCAATCGAATCTTAGTTATCTTGCCACGGTAGCTGATCAATACACCAATCCACAAGGGGTATTTATCGAAATGATCGTATAATAACTTTATACTTATCATAAACTAATATATTGTAATCGCTTTTTTTTGTGTAGGAAATAAAGCAAAAGTTGATGCCGGATTTTTCTCCATTACCTCCACATCGATTGCATTATAACCAAAAGATTAACCAACTTATTCAACGTGCTTCTCAAGTATTCGCTGCTTCGCATCACAACCACATTCAACCATTACCTGGTCGATCGGCTGCGGCTGCCGTTATCAAGAGTGAAAACGGCGTCGTCAATAATAATTCCATCATGAGCACCAATGCAAATGTTAGCAATAAGGTTAATGATAATAATAATAATATCAATGACATTATTAGTAATATTAGTAGTAGCAATAATAATAACAACAATAACAACAACAACAGCAACAACAGCAACAATAATAACAATAATACTACTACTACCACTACCACCACCACCATTAATACTAATACTAATGATGATGATGATGATGATGCTGATGATGATGATGATGACAATAATAATAATAGTAGTAGTAGTAGTAATAACAATGACAACAATAATAATAGTAATAATGATAACAGCAATAGTGCTTCAGTTACTACTAGCACTATGAATAATAAAGTTCTTGCAAGTTCAAATATTAATGTTTCAGATTTGAACTCATCATCTTCTCGACAATACAAATTGGCAGCTTCTAATGGAATAATAGGTGGAATGTCAATGAATCAACAATCGCAACAACAGCAGCCGCAATCTTACCAAAATAATAAAATCCAAACTTATCTTAAGCAGCAACAGGCACAGAATCGTCAATCATTACAACAACATGGAGCTCAAATGACTCATCAGCAACAGCCACAACAAAAAAAGGGCACTCCACGACTGCATCCTCAGTCACTGCATAAGGCACATCAGTCACCGCAACTTCAGCAGCAGCAACGTGTTAATACGCCACAACCAACCCATCAAACTCAACAGATGCATCAACCTACACAGCAAACTGCTCAATCATCACAACAAACGCAACAATTGCTCACAACGTCACAACAACTTCATACGCCGCAACAACAGCAATCCTCCTCTAATCATCTTCAAACACCATCTGTAATACCGCCTTTAATGTCATCGAATTATCAACAACAGCCACAACAACAAAATGTTATTCAATCAAACATATCAGATTATTCTGGAATGTCGACAAATACAACACAAACGCCAATGCAACATCAAGAACATTCTTATCAAGTTTTACCTCCATTGGCTGGATTAGGAGGTATCACTTCTATTAATGGCAATAATGTTAATGGTAATAATGGTAATAATGGTGGTAATAATAATAATAATAATAATAACAACAACAATAATAATAATAACAATAATAATACTAATAATACTAATAATAATAATAATAATAATAGTAATAGTAATAATAATGGTAGTAGTAATACTAATAGTAGTAGTAGTAGTAATACGAATAATAATAATAATATTAACAACAACAACAATAACAACAGCAACAATAATAATAATAATAGTAATAGTAATAATAATAGTAATGGTAATGGTAATAGTAATAACAGTAATGGTGGTGGTGATATTCAACAATTACCGACAGGACTGCCTTCAATTGGAATTAATGATCAATACATAATTGGTAATGGAACAGCAGGCGGAGGTGGTGGCGCAATGGCAACGCAACAACAGTTGCAACAAATGCAACATATGGGATATGGAGGCTATCCAGGAACCAATGGGACTGTTATGACAGCAGGCAACGCATATCTAAATCCTTATAACGTGCTAAGATATACGAATGGTGGTGCTGGTGGTAATGTTAATGGATTAGTGGGCGGCAATGGAATAATCCCAACAAATGGATTGCCAGCGTATCGAGGTAACAACGGTCTAATTAATAACGCTAATGGAAATAATAACAGCGGCAATGTCCGAATGCCTAGTAATGGCATGCAAGGTAATTTAGACAATAATGGTATCTAGAAAAAGAGATTAAACATTCTCGTAATCACGTATAGTCTATCTAGCCTTTCAAAATTCGATAATTTAATAATCATGATATAATATACTACAGTAATAATAGCACATTATTTTAATTGTTATTTAGTTTTCTTAGTATGCAAAATCAAATTTTATATTATTCATTCAATCGTCAAAGATTAAATACAAAATAAATGACATAAATTAAGAAAAAATGCTATCAATCTATCAACTCTAATCCAGCCTTTCGTTAACTATGTATTTAGATTGCAGTGAACAAAAATAGTGAAAAAACGTTTACGTAATCACAAGAAAAAATATGTATATACCTAAAAATCTAATCAACAGGAACTAGACAACCCCCCTCCCGGGTCCTCGTTTTCTGCAGTATTATATGCGATCTTTCCCAGATTCGGTCTTTCTTTCCGGATTCTGTAATACCATTAACATATATTTATGTTCTGTGACATCTTGAGAAAAAGAAAGTAGTTCAAATTATTAGTAGGCTAGAATAATTAAGACGATTCAACTAAACTTAACGGTTTATTCTTACCAGGTGAAATCATAATCTCATGTTTTTTGCTTCTGATACGAAGAAATGTTAATTCATTCTTTTGTGGCTTTTAGTAATGAATTTTAATGGTTAAGCCGAATGTATCAAACATTAAACAGAAGATCTCGTTCTTAATTAAGTTTTAAGTAATCAAAGAATCTATCCTCGTAGAATCTGAATTTATTTATACTATTCACTCACTCCTTCCCTTAATAACTTGAAAAAGAACTCACAGCGTCAGGCTCGTCAATCTCTTGAATCATTTTTTGTGTCATTTCTAAATATTTTGTAAGTTTGTCAGCATAGAGTTTTGTTATCACAGCGTCGAGAGTTGTCTTAATTACTGAGCCTTCTTTATTAGCGACCAACACGCCTAAAACATGCGGGTTGGCAATAAGTGGTTTCAGTATCTCTTCGAGTTCTAGAGAGGCCTACATTTTTATTAAAATTTTGCAAGTTTAATTGAGAAGGGACGCGAAAAAGAAAACTGAGAGCTATATATATATATACACACCATAGTTTGGATATTAAAACGTAAAGTCAGAAAATACATGCATTTGTATTTACTCCCACGTGGATCACCATTGCATATCACTTTTTTTCAGAAACGAGTCGGAACCGTCGCGTTCGCAAAATTTTCTCCGGAAAAATATGGAGAAAGAAGACGATGAAAAAAAGTCTTTTAAAGATCAAATTCAAAGATATCATAAATCAAAAAGGGCACGCTCAATTTCACCCTCTTCAGCTTCAAAATCTTCACGTTCGCCTCTCATTCGACATCGAAAGAGAAGTAATTCAAATTCGAAGGTAGAGCATGAAAGTGAACGTCAACGACACAAAGAACATAATAAAGAACGTAACGGTCGCAAACATAAATCAAAAAGGAAAAAAGAAAGTAAGCGAGGGAGAACACGTATACGCTCGTATTCGGTCTCTTCGTCTTCTCATGATTCTTTTGAACGACATCACCGTCACTCCAAGAAGAGGCGGAAACGTTCTCTTTCTGTTTCCTCCAGTTGCTCTTCCTCTACAACTGACTCGGATTCAGAATATCATAAGCATCATTCCAAACGTAAGAAACATGTAGGTCATAAATCAAATAGTCATAAAAAACGTCATCATCACCATCATCATGAAAAAAATGTGAAAGATGATGCTAAAGCCGAAGACAAAGATGAAATGATAAGCGAATGGCAACGGAAGCTTGGGGAATGGAAAGAAAAACTAACAAGTCAACGTCCTGCGAATGAATCTAACAACAATGATAATACCAAGACGATAGTTGCATCTGCTACCACTACCACTAATAATAATAATAATAATAATAATAATAATAAAAGGCCACCGATGAGACCACAAACTCAAAAAGAATATGAAGCTGAACAATCAGTGATACGTGAAGTAGTAGATCCAGTGGATGGACGTAAAAGGTATTATGTAAAAATGATTGAGAAATTTATTATCACTTCTCGACTCTTTTTCATCTCTTGTTCCTTTGGATATTTAGATTGATTAGAGGTTCAGGGGAAGTAATTGAACGTATTGTATCAAGGGATGAACAAAAAAGGATTAATAAACAGGCTACAATGGGAGACGCTGTACGATATCATATGAAGTGGACAAACAAGGTTTAAACGTTTGAAAGTTAAAATTTATCATATAGAATATATTTATGTAGGATTCATGTTTCTAGATGGATAACAATTCATATTTTTTAATTTAAAATAACAATATATTGAAATTATTACTCTTCACTAGCTACTATCATCAAATGTCTTTTAAATCTTCTCCGCAATCTATCATTTAGTATTATCAAAATCATTAAAACTATCACGAAGTATTTTAAGAGGCTGAAGATCCCAATCCCTATAATTGGGGTCTTCGTTATTCAATTTATTTTTACCATTTCGAGGACTATCATATCCCGAATTATAATTGCTTCTGCTGCTATTGTTGTTATAATTGTTGAGATTATCATTAGAAAATTTCCAACTTTTTTGTGCATATTTTTCTCTTTGAACACCATTGAAACCTCTCCTATTGTTACTTTTATTATAGTTTTTAGAATTATTTCTAAAGCCATTATCGCTACGACTCTTGAATACGCCATTATCAAAATCATAATCATTACGGTTAGGTGAAAAATAGTCAAGTGTATCCTCATCTTCATTATCATTGAATCGATCATGTTCATCTCTTTTATCTCTGTCTGGATCATCCTTGTACCCGACGCGTTCAATATATTCCAAGTAATTGGGTCCTCCCCTTTTATCATTCATATGGAAATTATATAGACGAGGTAGTGCGATAGCTGCGTGCACCGCATCTTTCAATTCTTCCCATTCAGCTTCGTGAGTGTCGAACCGACCAAAAAAGAGATAATCATGACCTTTATTATCAAGCATCAATTAATTTTATTATTCCAATTATATAGACTTTGAAAATCCATCTTATGCCCCTTCTCGATTGTTCAAGATTTCACTTACGTTCTTTTCCTACAAGTGGAAGAACATATCGAAGTGCCTCACGTATACGTCTTCGAATACGTAGGCGTACTGTGGGTTTCTTGTCCATGTATTTATTATTAGTCAACACCTGCCATCGAAACGTTTTGACTGGCTCCATCGATTCCTTTTCTTGTGAATAAGAAAATGTCACGAAACGCTTTTTTATAAGAATAATTGGGGAGGGGAGAGGGAAATCAATAAATAATTACTACCCAGACTTACGGTAATGAACTTCACTCGGCTCCCATCGTCGTACAATCAAGGTAAAAAATCTATTTGACATTGATGTTAAAGGACATTTTCTCCCCAAGAACAATTGAATTGTGTATTCATCGATAACGTGCATCTGATCAAGGCAACAATTGTTTCAAAATGTGTGTGTAAAACATATATCAAAACAACTAAGTAAATTGCGTGTAATGATCAATTCCAAACATAAAATCTTTTCTATGACGAAAGAAAGGGCAAACGCTTTGGATTTCCAATACTAACCTCGTCGGGAGGTACTAATGGAACTAAATCTCCTTTGTAACTTTTTCTTAGTATTGATTTCCCACCGCCAATCAATGGATGAATGACTACTGACCGTCCTTCAGAATCTTTTCCGGTAAGAAATTGTGCGGTTTGTTTTGGAGAGCCGCTTGGAAATCTTTCTTCGGGATCGGGCAAACCTAGTGGCAGCGAGTTGTATTTTTTGAGCTTAGGGGCAGTAGTTCGTCTGGTGAAACTAGTCATTCTGGAGGGATCACTGGTTGAATAGGAATAAAAACATTGCTGTTGCTTTTCTAAATTAGAGGTTACATTGCGGGCGCGTGAGGATGTTCGAACAAGTTCACGAAATAACCGCGAAAATAAAATCGACATCTTTTATACATGTATAACTTGTAATGTCAAATACAACAAATAAATTGTTAATTAGAAGTGTGATCGTGTTAAGATTAGCCAATGAATTTTATCCATCAATCTGTTACTTTTTTTCATCTCACCCACACTCTTCCAGATAAAAATTACCCGGAAAAATTCGCATTCCTAAAGATGCACACTTCTTCTTATTGACTAAAGTTCAACGATTCTGGCGGATGGGAAAATGAAAGAGGCAATAATAGATGCTCCAAAACCACGGTATCAGAAGTAATATGGATTCATTTAATAGCAGAATAAAGATTGAAAAGATCAAAATGGGTTTTCTCAATAGCAGATAAAAATCAAAATAATAACTTACTATTGTATCGATCTATATTAAGATGAAGCGTAGAGGATTGAACAAACATACGCTATCCTTCTAAATGATATTGCAGAAAAACGCATATGCTATTAATGTTCGATGAGAACAAGTGCGCGTGAAACTACAGTCGCTCAAATATCTACGCGAAAAGTACGATTGTTTATTCGGTTCAAGCGAATTATATCCAAACAGATACTTTTACCATAGTTTTTTGCTCTTGTGCTGAGATGGGTATACTGCAGGCAAAGTGAAGTATGAAGAAAGATTTGGAATATTGGAGATGGATAATCAATTAGCTGCTTACACGTAAAAATTCTGGGAACAGAAAAAGGATACAAGATTATAGAGGAAATATATCTGGCACTTCTTTATATGTATCAAAACCTTCGTGCTATGATGTAGATATGACTTCAAAGTCACTTAATATTGTCCTGGGATTATGCTTTAAAGGACGAAATTATTCAAAGGAGTACATGATCAAGTGCTGGCTAAATATCAAGAATGGAAGTGGTTATTTACAACATGAATACCTTAATCTCATTATATATTGAAGCAAGAAACCTTAAAGTTCCATAAAGGTTTTTAAGACTATTCGTGCAACAAAAAATTACGCTAGTTTTGCAGACTTACGATTTACTACTTACTGCTTATAGGATTGTTAACCAGCCACAAAGATATGCTACGAATGAAATTATTACACTAAAAAGTTTCTGGTAGAAAATTACGATGTTCTCCGATTCGGATAACGAAATTAAAGTCTTATGGTAAAGGGAATACCAATTATTATCATCTAAAGGTTGTGCCAGCTTCGAATTTAGGTAGAATGTAACGAAGCGAAATGATTTTAGTTTTTTAGATGGTTAATTTTGTTTTGTTGAATAGAAGGATTTGATAGGACTAATGATTCGGGCTAAAGTACTTTTCAAAGTCCTAAATATTTCGGACTTTGAATTATCGTATAACGATAAGTTCTAAAGTGTCCTAAATCCTAATTTAGAAATTTTTTGCAGATCATTTGGTGCTAAATACTTTAGCCCGAATCACTAGATAGAACAAAGTCATTGGAATTCGATAAAATAAATTTCTCTGCCATAAAAGTTCCCGCAATCATTATTATCATTCACGCTTCTTGAAGGAGTTAATTTCTTTGCGTCATTCATTCTAGCATTTAACTGAAAATCTAAAATAAAACTTCGTCCTCTCTCATGTTTCTGATATTTCTTTCCGCATCCATCTTATTTACGCTGAATAAATATTTTGGTTATTGATGGTGCACTTCGAATGTTTGCCTCCATGCAAAAAGCTGTAAAATTTCGTCACATCCTTTAAAAAGTTTTATGCTAGTGTGTATATGCGAGTAGAGTTGGTATTTTTTGAGCATACTACGCGAATGCAATTGAATGGAAGATTCGGTGAAGGAATTGGATGCAATTTTTTTGCTTTTGTAAATAAAAATTCTTTATCTCTTTAAAAAACGACAAAAAATATAAGGACCACGAAAACATGGTACTATAAAAAGTCGATTTTTCATTAATATAACGATCTTTCGTATAATAAATAAACTGAACTTTGAACATGAAATTGACCACAATGTCAAGTTTTAACACGATAAATTCTCATACTAGCAAATGTTTATCAGGTTCTAGTTTAATTATTATCAAAATTCGGTTCGTTGGTTTACGAGATATTGCGCAAAACAAAAGTTCAACAAACTGAGTTTTTATATGATTATGCAATTTCATGAAAACGTTAATGAAAAATCGACTTATACCTTTTTGTAGATCACTGTCAATCTCTGATGTGTGGGCAGAATTATGAGATTAAGTGATTACACGTGTCCTTTCTCATAGAGGTTAAACTTTATCGATTGTCTCTTATTTACTACTTTGTAAACAACTCTGCTATGGAAATCGAATCCTCAGAGTAAGTATCTTTGAAATAAATTACATGGCTACGACTCAAATGAATAAAATCAATTAATTGAGCGGTTATTTACTTTTTCTAGCATAATTAGGTTAATACTTCAATTTCTGAAGGAAAACAACCTTTCTAACACATATGCAGCTCTACAGGTCCTTATGATATTTTGTCAAATGTGCTAACCATGTAAAAGTCGAGATTTTTAATTAATTAGTTGTTTATTCTAGGAAGAATCGACTATAGCTCTAAATACAGTTGATTCAGTTGAATCATTTATAGAAGAAATAACACAAGGACATTGGGACACAGTTTTGAGAACAGTGGCTAATTTAAAAATACCTCAACGTAAATTGATTGATCTCTATGAACAGGTTGAAGATCCAGTCACTATTTCAGCTCATATCATCATACGTATTAAATTATGATTAAAAAGACCTTAGATTGTTTTGGAATTGATAGAAATGCGCGAGCTTGGCGCGGCTCGTACGTTATTGCGGCAAACGGATCCGATGCAGATACTACGAGAACACTTTTCAGAGAGATACTTGCATCTTGAACATTTACTTTCACGAACATGGTTTGATCCTAAAGAGGTAAGTAGGCTTCTATTGGTTTCTTTATCATGCGTGGTTAGTTTGATTTGATATTTAATTCTTTTCTATGTAAAATTAGGCATATCCACCTGGTATGACCAAGGAAAAACGGCGACAAATTATAGCTCAAGGTTTCTATTTAAATTTTTACTCGATGGATAAATTTTGTCCGTTTAACTAAATCATTAATAAGTAAAGATTATAGCTCTTTCTAGTGAAGTGACTGTAGTGGCTCCGTCAAGATTGTTAGCTTTACTTGGACAGGCATTAAAATGGCAACAGCATCAAGGCCTATTACCTCCAGACACAGCGTTTGATCTTTTTCGAGGATCTGCCCCGACAACGAAGGCGGAAGATGATGCTGAACCAACGAAGTGCTACGCTACAATCAAGGTGCTGATGCGTGATTTTTTTTTATTAATATAATTTTTGGAAAAAAATCCATTTTCCTAACTTTGGATGCTTTATAGTTTCCCAAAAAGCAACACGCGGAATCTGTTGCATTTTCCCCTGATGGTCAGTATCTGGTTACTGGTAGTGTTGATGGGTTTATTGAAATATGGAATTACTTGACAGGAAAACTACGAAAAGATTTCAAGTATCAAGTCGAAGTAATTGCATTAAATTATCTATTCTTTGTCTTTGTTAATTTATAGAATTAATTGCTTTTTAATTTTTTTTTTCAGGATAATCCAATGTTAATGGAAGATCCTGTTCTTTGTTTGAGCTTTAGCAAAGATAGTGAGATGCTCGTGTCTGGAGCTCAGGATGGCACCATTAAGGTAATTCGATGGATTAGATACGCATATATTATTATATATTTATTTGAACCATTCGTTTAGGTATGGAAAATTCATACCGGTCAATGTACTCGGCGTTTTTCTCCTGCACATAGTCAAGGAGTCACATCAGTCTGTTTTAATAGAGACGGTAGCCAGATTCTTAGCGCTAGTTTTGATCATACAGTAAGGTAAGTGTGTTGCTGCCTCTATATGTATATGTGCTATTTTTTTGACTTATTATGAAAATAGACTCCACGGACTAAAATCAGGAAAGACGCTCAAAGAATTTCGTGGTCATTCTTCTTTCGTGAATAATGCCACATTTTCTTATGATATGACTCAAGTTATTAGCGCAAGTAGTGATGGGACAGTAAAGGTATTGTTTTGTAAATGCATTAGATGGTTATTTTAAATCCGTTTTTAATTGGGTAAATTCTTTCTAGATTTGGGATAGTAAAACGACAGATTGTCTACACACAGTACTACCAAATAGTGCTCAAGCGGCAACTATTTCTGGTGGTATAGCAGTTAATTGCGTAATCCAGATGCCAAAGAATATGGATCAAGTTGTAGTGTGTAATAAAAGCGCAATGGTGTATTTGATGACAATGCGAGGACAGGTATGCTTTTTTAACAGTATTATAAACTCAAATTATCTCATAAAATTTATACTCGAATAATCTTGCGTCAGATTCTGAAATCATTCACGTCCGGCAAAAAAACTGGAGGTGATTTTATGGGTTGCACTGTTTCTCCTCAAGGCGATTTTATTTATTGTGTTGGAGAGGATTCCATTATCTATAGTTTTAATGTAACAAGTGGAAAGTTGACCTCCACTTTAAAGGTAAAAGATTTTTGATTTACACGCCTTAATTGCGGATTTTTTTATATTAATGTGTCTTTTAATTATTGATTGCAGTTGTCTGAAGTGGAAGTCATTGGAGTCGCACATCATCCATTTTCCAACATTTTAGCTTCATATGCAGATGATGGGGTGATATCTTTATGGAAACCATAAAAAATCACGTGAACCAATATTTGAAGATTATAATTACAATAAAAAATTTTCTGATATAGAATTTTATAAATAAGAACTTCTAACTCCTTTTTTTGGCAATGGCAGCCGCGGTTTTCGCTTCCTGGTCTTTTTTTTTCCTATAAGCTTGGTATTTCGAATCAGTTCCACATAAATAATCCCACCATCTAAAGGAGGTGGAATAGCAATTAACAAAAGCCATATGATGGTAGTCGTGGTGTTCAGCACCAGCCCAAAAAGGAACGAAATTACGAAGAGACCACGGGAAATCTAAAGAATTATTAGAATTATTAATAAAAAACTGATAAACTGGTATTTGGTAAAAGTCACCAACCATATCCGGAATGAGCATCGATCGTTTGGAATAGTCGAAAAGTAATCCAAATAAAAACAGAGACTAAGTGGAGGTCATGAGTCATAGCTACCCAAGCTATGGGTCCTCCAATTGTTCCTATTCCTAATATTATAACTTCAAGTGGATGTGCGTATTCAGCACACTAAGAAAAAGAACAATAGTGTCAATCATTAAATCAAACAATAATAAAAATAATCATGGTTTCCTACGCACCATTCCGAAAGGCGCAGCATATTCGTGATGTTGCTTGTGAATGATTTTATAGAAGTTTCCATAATGTAAAAGACGATGGAACCAATAATGATATGTGTCTTCAAAGACAAAGGAGAAGGCTACGTGTAATGCCATTTTTTGCCAATGCGGGAAGGGAACGGTTGTCACCTCCATGCCAAAAAACACGGCCACCGGATGAAAACCAAAAATCAAAGGCAATTCGATCCCAATGTGGTTTATCAATACCGATTTCATGCATTCCCATTGTTGCGCTACAGTATTCACTTTACCCTTAAATAATTAAGAGATTGAAAACACATTAATTTTCGAAAACTGAGTGTTCTTTTGTCTTTGAATTACTTACTGGCTGAAGTTTGTACTTCTGAAGAGCTGGAATATAGTCAGCAATAAAGAAAGGGACACAACGTCCAAAAAACACTGTTTCATGCACGAGGAATGCTAAAAGGCCGGTGGCAAAGACTGCGTTGTCAAAGGAGTTAAACCAATTCGCCCAGAATTTCTCGGCAAAGTTAAGTTCGTCATAGTCTATCGTGGTTCCAACAAAAGTGGAGTTAAATTCCCTAAAAAATACAATGGTTAATTGTTAATATTAAGCAAAAATAAGGAATTACTCGAGAAACATACATTTTCCCTGGTTAAAGAGGTAGGTAACGATATTATCGTTCTAAAACAATTTGACATAAGCATATAAAAGCATGATCGGACACAAATTTTTAAACCAGTTTGATATGAAATGATTTCATTTTAATGCGTTTATTTCGGGAAATTAAGATTAAAGATCTGCCTTAATTTGGAATTAAATGAGTATAGATACTATAGTATGATTATTGTTATCGTTATAATTCACATGTATCGTATTATCTAGATTGGGAGATACTGTGACATTGTCCTTTTTAGTATTTTTTTTTTAATTTACGTATTTATGCTGTGCCTCAGATCACAACTTGCCTCAGATCACGCTCAGCCCAAATTAAGATAGGGGTATTACTAGAGTTAGCGTTAGAGTTAGGGTTTGGGTTAATGCTAAGCAAAATCTGACCTATGTTCAGGTCTGAAACCCATTAAAATTCAGATCTCATGTAATAAACCATTAGTCACAAGCCATGAAATGCTATTCTATATTTTTTTCATACTATTAAATTATTAACGATAGGTCGGGATAATTAAAAAATTCTGTAAATATCGTTATACTGAGAATTTATTATAAGAATCGTTATATCGAGAGAATTTTTATTAGAAGTGATCTTGGGTTGTCATCGTTATATCGAGAATTTAATTAGTCATCGTTATAACTGATATTTTATGTACCCGTTTATTGAGCTTTTAAATTAAGAAAAAATGAAAATAAAATAATTGTTGTTATATAGCTGCTCATCATACTGATATTCTTCGATCTTGAATTACAAATATAAAAAATATAAATAGAACACCGTCTCATTATTTGACAAGTAAATTGATATCGTAACTGTTATAAAGGTATATTTGATATACAAGTACAAACCTTCCCAAAACAAGATCAATAACTATTCTACGGTAAAGTTCAAATTTCTAATGATGATGGTTCAACGCCTGTTTCTCTAGTTTTGCTTGATCTGATCTGACTATTGCTGGTTCGTGTTCATTCTTACTCTTGGCTATGATGGTCGATATATGGTCGTGACAATTAGTATTTATATTATCAAAAAATAAGTTTTAGCTAAGAAAAATAAATAAAAGTTATTTAAAATTTTAATTCATGTTTTTTTTAGAAACTTGTTTTTTGACAATAGTAAAAGCTTTTTAGTTATATAAGTTACTTCAAAATTTTTGTATTTTCAACTTTTTTAGATTTATATAGCGTCAGAAATCTATAATTACCAATTAAGTGACAAAATATTCATGAATTTTAAATGTCTAAAACTTTTTATAAAAGTATTATATTAAAGATCTGACTGATAACTTTGTTTTTTAAGATAAGTTTTACAAAGTTATTAATTAAATTTTTAATTTAACACTTCTATAAAAAATTTTAGATATTTAAAGTTCATGAATATTTGTTATATAATTGATAATTATAGATTTCTGGCATTATATTACAAGAAATATTAATTTAAATAATTTTGTTTATTTTATTTATATTATTTTTTTGTTTTTATATTTAATAATTTTGATATTAATATAATTTTTCAATTAATATAATTATTTAATTAATTATTAATTAACAATTAATAATTTATTTATTTACTTCTCATGAAAAAAAATTAATTTTATTATATATATAATCTTAATTATAAAAAAATAATTATTATTATTTGTATTAATAATATTTTTGACTGAATTACAAATAAAAATAAATAAAAATTATATATTTATAATGTATATACTATCATAATAGAATTATAAAGTTTGCTAATTTATAAAATATTAGAAATTTCAAAGTTTATTAAAAAAATAATCAAAAATACAAACTTTCAAAAATAGTTTAAGAAATAAAAATTATCAAAAATAGCTTATTAAATATTTATTATTATTGTTATTTTAATTTTATTTTTATTATTTTTATTTTTATTTTTTATATAATAATTATTTTATTTTTTTATTCAAAATTTTTATAAGTTAGTTTCTCTTTTTTTCTAAAATATAACATATTTTTAATATATAGTGACTAATAACATTATGGAGTTATACATGTAATTTTATTAATAAAATATAGTAAAAATTGAAATTTTTGTTTTATAAATTTTATTAATAAATATTTTTTATATCAAAACAAAAATTATAAATTATAATTTAATATATATTTTTTCCAGATTTTCTAAATTTTCTTCTGATAAAGTTGTTCTAATTGCAAAGTTATTGCAAAAATTTTTTATAATTAATTTTATATTTTAATTATAAAAAA